AAAACTTCGCAGTGAGCAAACCGGAACAGCTGATGCACAAGGGGATGCTATTCCTATTCTTCTTCTGGAGAAACGAAAGAGAGCTTCAAAACAAAGACTGCAGCGACATCTGAACCAATGCGCGGACTTCCACGGACACTTTTTTGGTCGAGTGAACTATCTTGTCAAGTACAATCTTTGCCAAAGAGAACCGAGTTCGATTCCCGAATGGGTAGAAAGTTATACGGTATCGAGTATCTCGGTCTTTATGCTGGAATGTTGTATCCTTCTCAGCCTGGGTTGGGCCTGATAGGCAAGGTCGGAAGCCCGTCTCCTAAATGTTCTAAATTGTGCCGCTGAGGCGTAAAAACATCTTCATTCATTCTTTTTTTAAACAGAAATTAGGATGGACCAGGAAGAAGAAAAAAAGTTTTATAATTTATTTCTCACAGGGTTCCAGAAAACAAAAACCCAACTGAGAAGGTAGCCATAATAATATTCTGTAAAGAAAACTTTTAAAAAGAAGAGAAAAAAAAGGGGGGGGGGGAGATAGGAGCTGCCAAACTTTGAGCGTGTACCTCTGTGATACAAATTGATGGGGATGTGCGAAAACATAGATCTACTACTCACAGAGTTACGAATTATGCGGCTTTTTAAAAAGGCTGGCTCAAATTTCTCATGGGAATTTACATTGTGAGCTGATAATATTGTCTAAAAGAAGAAACAAACAGATTCTTTGCCAGTGTTAGCTATTTTGACTGATTTTTCTTTGAACAAAAACAAAAATTGGTCGCTTTAAAGGACAAGCGGGCTCACCCAGATTTCGGGGGGGTTCCAGAAATCTTGACTGACACCAAAAGTGGGCATTGTCCTACCTATAGGAGAAGTTTGGTTTCATTGGTGTGTATATAGATCTACTTGTTTTGTTATAGAGAAAACTCTCCTTGTCTTTTAAAGAAACTGAACAAGGGTCCAAAAACTTTACCTTTGATTTTCTCAAAGCAGCATTTTTCGGGATAGCCCCCTTGTGCTTAAAAGCGACCAATTATACTGCTGCATTCGAGATTGCAAGAGACGTGTTTTCTTCTAGGCACTCTCTTGCCTTTTTTAAAACTCCCAGTGGAGCAGAGGCCATCAACAGCCTTACTCCAGCGAAGCCTGTCCTGAGCATCCTTTTCTATCTGTTTCCATGATGTCCCCGCTTTTTCTATTTCCGCTTGTACCGCTCGCCTCCATGTCATCTTTGGCCTTCCCTTCTTACGTTTTCTTCTAGGCAGTGACGTCTTTTTTTTTCTCTCAATTTGAGTTCTTCTTGTGTCACGTAAAGAGGAGGTTCGTTAACTGGGCAAGACCAGCGGAGCCGGTCAATCTTTGTCGGCTGGACAATGAACAAGAGATTTATCCCCCCCCCCTTTCTCTCCCGGGGCGGTGCCACTGACTGAAGTGTCTTTAGGCCATCCCCAAAGGGGGGACATTAACTTGTTCTTATGCACCGTATAATTGTAAATGGGCTGATTCAACAATGGTATGCTCAAATCTGTGGCTAAACTGCAACAGGGAACTGTTGTATTTTCTTTCCTAATCCTTACTATCGTCATTTTTCCTCTACTTCTTTTGTATGTTTGTCACACTCTTGCGACCCGCTATTTCCGGGGTGACTAGATATTCGAAGCAGATTCTGTGCTGTTGAAGCTAGAGAGGTGAGCAGAGTAAGCCTGATTCTCTGTAATGACTTCTCTGTTGACATCCACCCTTAGCGTTCTTGTACGCTAAGCATCCACTCCTTGGCGCTCATATGACCTTATGCAATTGCGAGCGCCGAAAACCCTTTACTAAAAAAAGAGATTTATTGTTAATAATAATTTTGATTCGCTTTAAATAATTTTAAATCGGGATAAAATTCATCAATATTCTAAAAGGTATTTTTTCCGATTTGAGGACACCCAGAAACAATTTTCTTATTAAAAAGGCTCAAAGATGACGTGTTTTCGAACTGCGGAAACTCATTCCTTTATCTCTATTATCACGCTGTCTGGCAATGTTGTGGTTATCACGCTCCTGCTCTCACGATGCGTGACGTCGTATGGTGGGCTCACGAATTGGTGCGTTCCTTGGTCCAAAAGAAACATTATTTTGAGCTAGTTGAGCAAATATTGATTTCCCTAGGTAGTAATTGGGGTTTTTTATAAAGCGATTTCAGTTATTAGCGGCATCGAATACAAGTTGGTCAATAGATGAGATAAAGTTCAATATTCTAAAAATTATACTGAACACGCATAGTCATTTTTTTTCAAAAACAGAATTTTTATGCATCCTTTGTTATATTTTTAGATTTTGCTCGTGAACTGTCCCAAGATGAGGGAAAGATTGGAATGGGGGGGGGGGGTATAATTTATTTACAAGCTGAATACGTTTTCAAGTGTACTTCAAAGGAGTGCACAGGAGAAAAGGAAAAAGAAATCGCATTGTTATCTGAGGTGCAAAACGATATAAAACCAAAGTCTTTCTTCTACTTCCCTGAGGTGAGCAAGGGGCAACAAATGCACAGCAGAGTCCTCAGAATCGCAGATTATAATAATATGTTTTCAAAAGACGGCATTTTGCCTACATGTGATTAAAGGCAACGCACCAAAAAAATCAATTTCAAAATTGAAATATGAAATCGGTGAACACAACTAGTTATAGTTCAAAATAGACCCCAACTCTTACTGGTTCAAAAAGGAAATGTGTAGTCACTTTGTAGTCTTGCTACTACTATTTAACTGAATCCGTCCTCTAGTACTCTAGGGCGTCGAGGGGAGAAAGAGCTTTCTGTCTCTAGCAAGTTTGATGGCCTGGCTGGGTGGAATATTGTATGTCCTCAAGGTATCCTTCACACCCTGGATCCAGGTCTTTCTTTGTCTTCCTCTTGCCTTGTACCCTAATACTTTTCTGTAGTAGGCTTTACTCGCAAGCTGGTGAGGTGCCATAAGTGTGATATGTCCAAACCACCTGATTATTTGCTCTCCAATGTATTGGAGGACAGGTGTTGTTCCCACAATTTCTCTGATCTTGTTGTTTCTGACCATGTCCCTTCTGGTTTTGTTGACGGCTCTCCTTAGACATCTCATCTCGCAGGTGGTTATCTTACGTTCCAGACTTTTAGTCAGAGTCCATGTCTGGCACTGGTAGGTCAAGGTGGGGGTGAAGATAGACTTAAAGAACTTGGCTTACTCTGTAGTCACTGGTCACAAAAGGAAATTTGTCTCCTCCTTGTTTCCCGTGGCCTACCCCTGTCTCGTGCTCCCTGTGGGTTCCACAGCAGCGACTGTCTTGTGATGCCGTAAAAAAACTTACCAAAGAAAAAAAAAGGAACTAACTACTCTAAGGTATCGGATAAAAGGGGGGGGGGTGAAGGCCAGGGTTAGGTGGAGCACTTGCACCAATTGAACCGATGGCGCATAAGAATATGGTTAATGCCCCCCCTTTGGGAATAGCCTAAAAACACCAGTCAGTAGCACCGTCCCGATGGTATGAGGATGAAAAAGTAAAAGTGAAGTAAAGTAAATTTTCTTAGGAAGGACAAGACTGTCTTGAATAGTACATCTATTACTTTATCAATGATAGCATTATCAGTAGTAACTAAGTAGTTCCCGTATAGTTGGCCTGGTTCTAATCTGTATGGCTTATTGAATTTTGAGCCACCCCTGATTCTGTTTGGTGTTCTGTTCGCAGCTTATTTCCCTCTACTGACTTACTTTGCCCAAAACCCGGACCTGCTGTTATTATATGGAACTGCGCAATGGTAATACCCAGATGGAATTTTAACAGGGCGAGACTGGATAGTGGACAGGGTTACATGTGGCAGAAGATATTCGGAGACGTTTCCGGCGAGCACGAGATGCACTCAAGCACACCGATGCACTGCATACTGTTTGCTACAGATCACACAATAGATTTAGCCACTAAAACTATCGCAAATCAATTATTTTCCAGAAATTTTCAAACCTAACAGCAAAATATCAAATTATAGGTGAAAACAGGGGGGCATGCCCCCCTCCCCCTGACTGTAACCCCCAAGATTTTTTTACTTGGTCTAGAGGCACAAAGCAATTTGATTCGTCTATCTCCATCGGAGACGTCTCCGAATAGATACTGCAGCTACATGTAGCTAGCGAGAGGCACTGGGCTGTCATTGTCTAACAAACCCATTTCCCTGGCGTTCTCAACCCAGCCCGACACTGAATTCTGAAAACAGTATTTGACACAGTTCCCCACTTAAAATTGTTCGCTTTTAATTTTAAGCACAAGGACTATCCCGGTACTGTAAGACTAAGAGTAGTTTTAGGGGGGGGGGGGTTACCCTGCACTTTGTTATTGTTCTATATTGGCTAAATACGTAGGCGTATACAAGATCCGTGATCCCATCTGGTACCGGTAGCCATGGCATCTGACAGGAAAGTCGTGCACTAAAAAAAAAACAAGGTAAAAAAAAAGTAGTACCACGACAGAAGTCGTCCAAATATCGCGGTACTTTGCCTTCATATGACTATTCACACCGACGGTATTTGTGTCCCGACGAGGAAGAATCAGGCGCTCGTCAATTTTTGGGCATGTGGAGTTATTGGTATCACTTTAATGCTTGTTCCGTTGTCTTGCTATTGGAGAAAACATACCTATCTAGATCTATCTTGAACAAAAGTCGAGATATTTGAGATTGAAGAAGGTGGGGTCTCCTTGTTTCAAAGGTAGAATTAGTGAGAAAATGGCTGCCAAAGTCTGGTTATTTCCATAGCTTGATTGTCCTGGGAATTTGACAAGATAGTTCACTCCTCTCTTTGAGCCAATTTAAAAGAAGTGTCCTCAAAAGTTGGTGGCGCCCTCTTTGAAAAAGAGCGGACTTTGGGAACAGAGTTGCCCTACTTGTGTGAAAAAAACAATGAAAGTGAAACGAACAAACTGTGCTTTTCCTATCATTCTTCTGGAGAAACGAAAGACAGTTTCAAAAGAAAGACTGCAGCGCTATCTGAAGCAATGCGCAGACTTCCGCGGACACTTTTTTTTTAGTGAGCGAAATATCCTGCTATATACGATCTTTGGTATACAGTGGTATCGATAATACGTGATTCAGAACTAGGCCTAAGAATCTTGGCTAGTGTGCTGTTCTAACCACTCCGCATATCTGGGTAACCAACGGATATAAATAACAAAGGTGACAGAGCAAGTTTAGTCCAGCACGCACCGCCGGGGCGGCATCTTTCATGCGACAAATTTTTATTGACCCTGTCACAGGTGAGGAATGGTCCTAATTTCACTCAAACATCTTTCTATTTTGCTCTTAAAACTTAGAGATTATGTTCTTTGTTGTTGTTTTTCTGTATCTTCTAAATCCAGAATTCCTGAAAGATATCTATTGTGAATTGATTCGAATACCTTACTTAATTTAAAAGCATAGTCCAGTGTCACTCACTTTCTGGGATTTGCGGCAATTACACTCAGCTGATCATTCCTGTTCTTTGGCGTTATTCGTGGTCCACGTCGGTTTTTTTGGGTTTTTTTGTTTGTTTTTTTGGTGTGTTTTTTAGCTTCCTAATTGATTTTCCTACTAGGAAAGCAAACGATAAGTGAACCGCCCGTTATGGATAATGACACAGCATCGATCTCTGTTTGTAGTTCTGTACACATGTGTCAACCTCACCAGGTTATATCGATTAATGGTATTTCATAAGCTATCAGTTTAACCCTATCCGTATGCCAATTAAAAACACAACTGTGAGTGGATTTTACAGAAATACGCTGAGTATTGGCACTAAAATGGTAACTTTTCAGCTTCCGAAGACCCTGTTGCTATGCAATTCACTAAATTTTGGCGGCAATTTCATTGCAAATTTTACCTCTGCAACCAAGCGAGACTCCTCTTCTTTCAATCGTAAATATCTCAACTTCTATTCAAGAGATATGGGTATTTTTTTAAATTAAAAAGTAAGCAAGTGAAGAAGCTATAAGATGATAGTCTACAAATAAGATAATAAGGCTACATGCCCAGACATGGACAAGTGCCTGATTTCATCGCGTCGTTGCTCATGTATCTTTTTGTGCAGAAAACGCTTTCTCCAGTGCGCGTGTCTGTTTCCTGCACACAGGTCCTCCAGCCTTTGGTCATTGCCATTATATTCTGCTATTACGTGACGTCCAATGATATCTTCAGAACCTATGTCATCTTTTAAAATAATAATAAATAAATAACATATTACACTTTTATTTGTCCCAGAAGGGCACTTTGGTTTACAATGGCAAACGTACATACACAAACATACATACATAATTATAAATACATGTACGTACATACATAAATACATGCGCAAACACATACATAAGTACACACTATTCCACAAATACAGAACAGTTTACAACCATGCCATTGTCGGTCGCCACTATTCTGCACCCTGTATTTTGAGCTACGGTTGTCGTGTCTTGCTCAAGGACACACCCAGTGACCACACCTGATCCCCGTGTCAAAGACACTTGCTTGACATAATTACTTGGGTGTAAACTCACTACTTACTTAACCACTGGAGCCCTATCTTTTAATTTTAGTTATCCATAAGGATATACATATATTGATAACTTTGGCTTGGTGTTCCTCTGATATCTTCTGTTATATAATATGTAGTTGGCCATAGAACTAGTCTTTGGTTTCCCCATATCATTAACTGGGGATGCAGCATTGGATTAAATTTACTATTCAGATTAATTTTCCTGTTCCATGTAGCGGAGGATGCTACGATATCCTGGATCCATGTCCCTCCCATGCCATCAACGCTTTCTCCCCTTCCTTCGAAAGCATGAATGCCACAACTTCTTCACGCCTTGATGTTTTATCTGTGTAGCCAGAATATTTGACTTAATTTAAGCAGCGTTCCAGTTGGAAGTTTTTTCTGACCTTTATCCTTTATGATTCCACCTTTTATCTGAAAGTTCCAATGTATCCATGTTGTAGTTCTGACTTTTCCTTCCTTCCTACCCCCCCCCCTTCAACAACAACAACAACAAACAAACAACAACCAACAGCAGAGATGCCCCGTCACGGAGGCCCGGCGGTGGCATCTCTTCGGGGAGGATTCAGGGAGGTTGGACTGCCTCACCCGCTATCCAAGGGAGGCGGTGGCCCTGGCGAAGAGCACACTCTTCGGGGCTCCGAACATTTCGAACGGATAGGCTACCACACACACACACACACACACACACACACACACACACACAAACACACACACACACACACACACACACACACACACACACACACACACACACACACACACACAACAACAACAACAACAACAACAACAACAGCAAACCCCAAAAGACCCGAATATATTTCAAACATCGCTCTGACGTTCATGTTACTTTCTTTGATATCGTTATGACAGAAGACTAGATTTACAACTAGACCCCTCGTTGATTCATATCTGCTTTCATCACCAGGCTTCATATTATCTCCACCAGGATGGTCGCTGTGTGTGTAGCAAGATTGGCGACTAGTTGTTTCCTTATCTTGACATTTCCGTGGTGACATAATTAAAGTGTGTCTATTCTGAGAGTGAGATGCCCTTCCTGTGTTACCATTCAGTCGCCTCTTACTACACACCAGTCCCACACCAAGCCTATTCTAATCAAAGTCGTAGACTTCACGGCAGTTGCTCGAATGTACACACATTAAAAATGATTTAGATCTACACTAGATCTAGGTCTACCAAATGAAACAACGATGGCTTTTCATCGAAAGCATGCCAGTTTGTCACAGACCCAGTTTGTCACAGGCCTCGACTGTGCCCTGCATGATGGAAGTTATCACTGACACACCCAAAAAGAGTACATGAATGATTGATTGATTGTATGAATTGGATCTTATTCAATTTTCAATTGTTTTCAACGAAAGGACATTCATTGTTGAAAGTTTAGTAATTTGCGTAATTTGCTTTGATTTGCAGACAAAAAGAAAGGAAGAAATATTGAACAACACAAGCTGAATTGAATTTTAGATGGACTACCTCTGCACCACCCGTTTAAAGGTGGAGAATTAAAACGCTTAAGTTACAACTACAGTGTTAAAGTGTTGTAATTATGAATATCATCAATACTCAAATACTTATATAAAATTGTGACAAACTTGGCCTGTGAGTCAGCATGTGACAAACTGGGCAGCCCCCCTTTCATCAGTGGCAGTACAATGTATCATTTTCTCCGCACTTCACACTTCTGTCCGTGTTCAAAAAACCCCAAAAGTGTGTCGAAACAAAACGTGTGAAAGTGACTCGGTGAAATACAGTCTAGCAAGCACATAGATCTAGCGAAATCGGCTTGAAACTACATTATGTACGAATGCCAGGCTATATCAATTTACTGGGTCACCAGTTTACACATATTAGGGTCACCATTTCACACATATTATTATTATTATTATTATTATTATTATTATTATTATTATTATTATTATTATTATTATTATTATTATCCCCCCTATGCCACACCAACATGCGTGTTGGGTTTCGTCGCTTAACGTTCTCCACTCCAGATTTTGGAATTTTCACTTTGATACTGATTTTTTAATCCACCTCTGCTAAGATCTGTATTTTTTTTTAGTTGATCAGTAAACGTTTCCACCACTTTTGCATCGCCATGGTCCATTATCTACTACATGTACAACTCGACCATGGCCTAGAACTAACTTTGCAGATAGTCGCCAAGTTATTGCGTTGGGTGTACTCTCCGTTGAAGAGGACGCGTGATGAGTGATACACCTGTCCCCGTAGTTTTATGGAAGCCAAATTTTTTTTGGGTATAATTTCTTATTATTTTCCTTCATCATTCCATGTTAAAATTAACAGAATCGCATAATTTCACATTTTTGGGCTCAGTTTGAATAATTTCAGATTTTTTTTTGCATAAAACCACGGGGACAGACACACGTAGAAGGGGCAATACCGGTGTGTGCAGGCTAGATATCTACATCTACCTCTGCTTATCGCTCTCATGAGTCATGTCGGAAATAGACCTGTCCTTAGCCGAGGGGCTGCACAAACGTATAGGCGGTGGCCTAGTGGTTAGGCTCTCGGACTCGCAACCGTAAGGTTGGGGGTTCGAATCCCGTCAGGGGCCCGACGTTGTGTCCTTGGGAAAGGCACTTTGCATACATTTTCCTCACTTCACCCAGGTGGAAATGTGTACCCGGCTATAGACAGTGAACGATCTTGTCAGTTTGATAGTGTTTGAGCGCGTGAAATCCACAGCATGCACTGTATGCTTCTTCGGAAGCCGAGAATGTTTCTGAGTGTTCTCAGAGAGTCTGCTGGGGGTAATAATAGTTGTAAAGCGCATAGAGCATACTCTTGAGCATGGAAATGCGCTATATAATATAAATGCAATTATTATTATTATTAAAAGAAGGGGAAAGGGGGGGGTATAGGTAATTTCAAAAGCAACTGGATAAGTTAAAGAAAGACGCTCCAATTCCTCTCGAAAAGGGCAAAATCAGCCACGATTCCCGCCAAATTAGAGTTTATTACAATACAATGTAAGTCTTAGGAAACTTGTACTTTCACAGCACTTTTTCTGGCAAAATGAAGTCTTTGAGGATGCTGACAGCGGATTGTCCAATAGAGGACTTGAACACTAACACAAAAAGGAAAGATAATTCCTTAAGAGAATGTCATCGTTAAGGATGAACCCGCCCCCCCCCCCCCCCCCCCCCCCCTTTTTTTTTTCAAACCAGAAAACTAGGAGAGATACATGTACTTGAGCTATACAATCCATAATGTGCCCTCTTCAGAAAACAAAGTTGGAGGCCTTTGATTGAAAGAACAATGTACATGTAATTTCTTTAAATAGTTCACGTCATGTTCATCGATTGCAGCTAGACGCTAAGACAATATCTGGCTGGTGGCCGATCAAAAACTAAAAACAACAATTTAGTTATTTGATTTTCTTTTCTAAGAAGTTCAAAGAAAGTATGGAGATCGAAAATTTTTTGAAGTTTTAAGATTTGTAATCATTAAAAAGTGCTGAACAATTATAGCACATTAAAATTATTAATGTGGACACAATTTAGATATAAGCTCTATCTGTGTCACAGTAGGCCTATTTCAATTTTGGCTCACTTTTATGCCCCCCGAAGCAACCCAAGTTGTCTTTTTCGACTGTCTATCTCGAAACTGGAGTTTATTTACCTCATATCTGTTCCCGTGGTTTTATGCACCCTGCATAATTTAACAAAATTTGATCTTTTTTTTTTGCATAATTTCTTGTTATTTTCCTTTATCATTCCTTGTTAAAATTAACAGAACCGCACAATTTCTCATTTTTGGGGCTCAGTTTGCATAATTTCATAATTTTTCTTGCATAAAACGACGGGAACAGTCATACTCATAAATACGAGAGCTAAACCTCCCCCCCCCCCTTTCTATCCACCCACAAGCGAACCTTATTCTGGTTACCAATCTCCATACCTTTCAATTCCTGTTTACAACTTCCTGTTACATTGTATTTGTCATAGCTTTAGTTCCTAGTCGTCTAAAGGGTTACATGTATCTTACACCAATAAGTAGTCTGTTACAATGTTGGGTTCCAGAACTCAAATTTAAGGATAGCTGGGATTTTCTTTCTTAGGTTTGCCTCACAATGATCATAGGGAAGATTGAGTCCAGTTTGTTTTTGTAGAGGTTTTACGGCGCTCTCTGCTCACCTCTCTAGCTTCAACTTCAACAGCACAAAGTCTGCTTCGACTATCAAGGCACCCCGGAAATAGCAGTTCACAGTGTATGACAAACATACAAAAGAAGTAGAGGGAAAATAATAATAATAATAATAATAATAATAATAATAATAATAATAATAATAATAAATAGCATTTGTATAGCGCATATCCCCGCTCAACAGCAGGCTCTATGCGCTTTACACTATATTATTACCCCAGCAGACCATAGAACACTCCGAAACATTCTCAGCTTCCCGGGAAGCATACAGTGCAAGCAGCTGATTAAGCGCTCAAACACTAACAAACTGACAAGATCTTTCACTGTCTATAGCCGGGTACCCATTCCCACCTGGGTGAAGTGAGGAAAATTCGTGTAAAGTGCCTTTCCCAAGGACACAACGTCGTGCCGCCCCTGACGGGATTCGAACCCACGACCTTACGGTTGCGAGTCCGAGAGCCTAACCACTAGGCCACCGACGCCACTAGTATGACAGTAGTAAGGATTAAGAATTATAAAGGCAGCGTTCCCTGTTTGAAGTTCAGGCACAGTTATGAGCATGACATTGATGAATCAGCCCATTTACAATTTTACAATTCTACTGTGCAAAAGAACAAGGTTAATGCCCCCCCCCCCCCTTTTTTTGGGAATGGCCTAAAGACACGATTGTCTGTAGCACCGCCCCCGGGGGGACGGAGGGGGGGGGGGGATTTAGTCGAGGATCTTGCGCTCTCGAAACAGGAAGAAAAACTTGGGAGGTTGTGGGTACCCTTGCAGCACGTCTAAAGCGGCCAATATACTTCCCAAACTTGTCCCCAGTAGTAGCACGGGAGTGCCAAGTATTTTCTTTAATTCCTTGCGATATTTGTTCTATAGACATTGATCTTTTTTTTTTACATCTTCTCTGGTATAACTTTGGTAAATTTCCTGGAATTTTTAAATCAATACACGCCGTAAGCTGCATCTTTCTTTTGTCTGTTGCAGTAATCGCCACACTTCACTTTATAGAGGGCTCATGGTAAATTTTGTAAACCTCGATACACTCCCATTGAAATACCCTGTCTTCTTCTGTATCAGACACCCCAGACATGATGACGGTACGAAATCTGGAAGAAAAATGATTATTGCACAATTTAATTGACGGTCGCCACACACGGTCAATTAAATTGTGCAAGCAAGTAGACTTGCGATATAAGTTAATGTCAAACTGGTTTTGATTAATAATAATAATAATAAATAGCATTTGTATCGCGAATTTCCCCACTCCAAAACAAGCTCTATGTGCTTTACACTTTATATTACCTCAGCAGACTAAAGAAAACTCAGAAACATTCTCAGCTACCCGGGAAGCATACAGTGCAAGCAGCTGGTTAAGCGCTCAAACACTAACAAACTGACAAGATCGTTCACTGTCTATAGCTGGGTACCCACTTTCACCTGAGTGAAGTGGGGAAAATTCGTGTAAAGTGGCTTTCCCAATGACACAACGTCGGTCCCGCGGCTCGAACCCCCGAACCCGCAACCGCACGATTACGAGTCCGGTAGCCTAACCACTAGGCCACCGACGCCACCGATTGACTCAACACAATTGCGCAAGTCGTCAATATCGCCCAAACACGGTCAATGTAATTGTCAATTCAGAGTACTGACAAAATCAAATTGCACAATATAATTGATCGGGTATGCTATTAATGTTAAGGAATCTTGAGTGTTACTGTTGGGTGCCAAAGAAGAGCAGGTCAATGCAAGTGTGTCGCCTGTGCTGATTTAGATGTAGTAGTATTTGTTCAAAAACTGAGTGGGGGTAGGGGGGGCTACATCTTGTTTAGGGTATTATGAGCCTGAAACGAGTTGACCGCCTTTTAGTGACCCCCGCCCCCTTCCCCACACGCCCCCACGTCATAGTCGGCAGACGTGCTAATGAGCATACAGTTGACAACTGCTAACCACAATACGAGAGTTCATTTTATTTTCTTACTTATTTAAAAGACAATACATCCAGTTTCGTGAAATTGTAAGTCCCTTTAAATATATTATTAGAAACATTTCACCCGCCTAGGTCATTAAGATATCGATACAAGACAAAGGCATACATTCTTTATTTTATTGTGCACCGTATTTCAAACTATCAGGTGGAATCGAAAACTTCTTTTCGCGACAAAGCTCAAGAGTAGAAAGGGCAATCGAGAAAAAGATATATTACATAACATTTTATGTATTGAACGAAACATCATGGCTACTGCTTAAAATACTTTTCTAATTCTTTAATCCCCAGACTTGCAGATTCCGTGATACCAGCCTCAAAACCATACTGTGAATATCTTCGTAGCATCTTTTGGCGGAGGACTAGATTCGATTTCGTGACCATTACTCCCCACCATAATTGTCTACACAAGCTGCAAACAAGATATTCTAAAACAGAAAGTTCTCACTAGATTGTGACAAACATGGCGGCACAGATCGATGAAGAAGCCAGCTTAAACGCCAACAAAGCTTTAACGGTTATTTTTATCATAGGAATTCTTGCATGCAATATTGTTCTGCTGTTCAAGTTTCTCCGGAAAGGGCGGTTACTCCGGAGTCAACGTAAATTCCTCGTTGAGTCCCTCGCACTGGGCGACATTGTGCTGGCGTTGTTCCCCTTGCTTATGGAAGCCCGTCGCTATTTTGAAGGTTACACACTCTTGTGTTATGGAGTTCAAATTGCAAACACATTCGCAACTGCTTTCATCCCGTTTGTGTATGGAGTTAGTATCATCGTTCTCTGTAGCGAACTCTGTTTCCGGAAAAAACTTCGCTCTTTGATTTCCAGTCCTGAACTAGCGTCCTTATTAATGGCAGTGTTACCTTGGGGTATTGGAGCCATCCTGATCTTTCCCTTATTTTTGACAGGCGCTTATGGTTGGCGCTGCGATCTCAAGTCAAGTGACATGTTCAGGGCTGGCTATGTCGTTGGCATTGTTTTACCATCGATCGCGGCTGTCATCGTCGCTCTCATAACCAGAATGAGGACACCCGATGCCGTATCTGAGTATTACGAGACTCCTCAATTTCAAAGTTTCATGCTTAGTCAGGCAGTGACGACACAGCACGCACAAGTATACCCACAACAGCCATATTATAATCCAGGACCCCCACAACAGCCATATTATAACCCAGGACCCCCACAACAGCCATATTATAATCCAGGACCTCCAAAACAGCCATATAATCCAGGACCCCACCAACAGCAAAACGACCCAACGCTACTGCCAGCAGCAGCACAACAGCCAAGCTTCCCTGCCTCTCAGTCTCAGCCACCTTCTGCTAACGTTAGTGGTCCTCAAACCTCTGATCTCAGTCAATTCGCCCAGCCTCTACAACCGATGCCCCCTACACAAGCTGTGTTCCAAACACCAGTGAGCTCGACACAGCCACCCTCAGATCAACAACAACAACTGTTGGCCGCGGCAGTCAGGAATGAGCAAAGTACTCTGGTCGTAGTTGCTGTTCTAAACGCTCTTTTGTCATTGCCGTTTGTCCTCTTCCTACTTGGCTACGAGCTGAACGAGGACCATGACACTCTAGATCCAATTCCTCTAATAACATTGAGATTATTATTTTCATGGGTGTTTTATCTCCGTCCCATCGTGACGCCTATTGTTTGGATAATCAAGGACAAAAATTTTGCTTGAAAAGAAAGAAGAGGCAGAATTCTTAACCCTATCCGTACGCCCTGGGGTCATTTTGCTAGCATCTGCGTTTGTTGCCATTTTTTTGTCCAAAAGATGCCAAAAGTTGCCACAAAAATAGCAAAAGTTGCCATAAAAGTTGCCATTTATTTTCAAGCTTTCAACTCTCTGTGACGACGTATAGCAATATGTTGATAGAGATAACTTAATCTAAAGCACCAGAATTTCTTGTGCTCTGTTTTAAGCATCCAGAATAATATTTGGAGCCACACGGAGTGTAAAAAACTTTTTAAAAAATAAAGGTTTCACAACAGAATGAAATCAAAATTAGAACAGCACATTAACAGCCACAAAAACTAACCAATAATTGCGTGTTTCCACCTTTCCTAAGATTGGCCGTTTTAACCCTAAACGTGTGTAATTCTTTTTTTTTTTTTAAGTACAGGATATTACGTGTAACTTATGGAATCACACTCAAGGGGCCTGCCAGTGTCAGTATTCGGTTTTGGTGGAGACTTGCTCTAACATAACACATTTATAATATATACAGTCGTGGCCAAAAGTTTAAGACCACCCGATAGTTTTTACATTTTAGCAATAAATTGAACATATTGTTTAGTTGTTGTTTTTTTAATGCATGCTTTAATGGTTAAATATGTTTACGATAAGCTGTTGTGGAATAGTTTTGATAAAAATTAGTTCTTTGTGTGTCCACCTTTTGCATGGATGACTGCTTGAACAGGACACGGTGTGCTAGCACGCTTGGTTGGTTTGCCAATATTCTTTTGGGGAAATTCCATGTGTCCACACTTCCTTGATTGTACCCCTTACGGCTTTTGCTCTTGACCGCTGTTCGTTTAAGCATGAGGCAGCTATATCTGGGGGAAGTTTTTTCTGGGACGACCACTTCTCTTCTTGTCACAATACGGTCTGTAATTTTGACAATTAACAAGAACACTGCGGATTGCGTCTTGTTGCACCCTATTTGGGATGAAATCTCACGTTGTGAGTAACTTTCACTGCTAAGAGCCTCTCTTTGGGCTCGTTGAACATCAGAAAGTGAAGATTTTTGCCATATTTTTTGTATATTTATTGATCAAGAAAAAATACTTTCAAACACGCTCATAGCCTTCATTCAAAGTACTGACAGAATGCTCTGGGAACATTCATTCAAAGCGCATGATGCAGTAGACCAGAAATAGTGAAAATAATTTCAAAATAAAAAAGAGGAATATGCGATATTTTGAAATAATAGAGAAATTGCATTTTTTGTTGGGTGGTCTTAAACTTTTCGCCACGACAGGTAGGAGCAACATCAAATTTAATGACATTACGCAATATAAAACAAAAAAATAGAAAAACAACAAATCAGAACAGTAACAAGAAAAAAAATTTACACACCAACAAATTAAATTATTTATTTTGTTTGTTTGTTTGAGTGAAGCACATCAACACAATAACGTTCACTTACTGCTGGGGAGAAGTAGGTGCATATACAAGTCAACATATTACATACACATACACAGTGCATATACAAGTCTACATATTACATACACATACACAGTGCATATACAAGTCTACATATTACATACACATACACAGTGCATATACAAGTCTACATATTACATACACATACACAGTGCATATACAAGTCTACATATTACATACACATACAGTGGCTTAAAAAAGAAACTTGAAAAATGCATTCACCCAGTGATTGTGGTGCTTCCCACTTATGCAGCCTACTAATTATTATGATATAAAGCTAAATAAGTTCTGCATTAGATGTGACACATGATAACCTTTCCTTCAGAATTGTCCGGGATATTGTCACTCAAAATTTGCCTTACAGATTGATCATACTTGGCAAAATTGTGTGAAATCAAAGTAATGTACGCGTGTGTTCGCGCTTGTTGTACTGGAGAGGTACATTTGTATCTACATTGATGGAATGGACACATGTGTTGCATATCATTTTGGGGGGGGGGGGTAAGTGTTTTACAGCGCTCGCAACTGCATAAGGTCATATGAGCCCGCGGGGCACACCTAATACTTTTAGTTGGTAGGAAATTTTGAATTTTGCCCGGGTGGCGGCCGAAGCCTACTCTTACCGATTTTAGACCACCAAGGGATCTTTAACGTGCGCAGCTTGCACACGGGCCCTCCGAGATTTTTCGACCTTGTCCGAGAAGGCTAGGTGTAGATCTTTCCTACCAGAAGATCAGGGGTGTGGCAGAAAGACAGCCGTAAGAAGGAGTCAAGGAGTAGCAGTAGAAAGGCTGCAGAAAGAGTCAGGAGCTCAGATGAGGGGACAAAGGAGGTGAGGGGGTGGGGGAGAAAGAGGAGACGAAAGCAGACAATAGAATATTGCTAGAGAGCAGGAAAGGAGGTGAAAGGAGACAATTTTAGAGAAGAACATTTTTTGGTCGCCACCCGGATTCGAATCCGGGACCTTTGAATGAGAGGCCAACACCTTAACCTCTAGGCCACGAGAGCCCCTGTTGCATATCAGATGAGTAGGGTATATTACATCTCTGCAATGAACAGAATCAATGCCATTCAAAATTTGCACAGCAGTTTGTATCAATTTTGTATTAAAATCATATATTTTTCCTCAATAATTGAGGCTTTAAAACTTTTTTTCATAAATTTATATAAAAATATAATACTATGAATCTTCGCAACGCAAAAAAATGGGATTGTTCACAGCACTTCCCACTTCTCACACACATTTTGTATACATGCCGTAGAAGCGTAGGATAAGAAATGATTTGTCACGCGATATATTTCAATTTCTAGATCTATAAAGACTTTGAAGGCTTAAAAACAAATACAATAAAAAGAACTGTCCTTTCTATTGCTGGGCCTCACCAAGTAAAGGAACAAAATAAAAGAAGTAAACACGGAACAAACCAACGTTGTAACTGCCGTGTGTTCCTACGTTTAATGATTTGATTGAGTAGGTGTTTTACAGCACTATTGACTCAATTCTTACATTCAATAAAAGGTGAGAATAATATATATTTAATTTGTTATAAGGTCGTGGGGTGTCGAATAAAGTCAATAATGTACGCTTTTCATTCTCGCGTTGTTTTTTAGATTTTAGCTTCCTCCATAATTAATTATTCCTCCGTCCTCCTCTGCTTTGTGCGTGAGCGTTTTTATTCAGAACACTGTCCATATACATGTATACTGAACGCCATTAAAAACGCAACACTTCGTTCGCATAGTCTGAAAAATTGTATAGGTTTAACGCCCCTATCAACACTATTAGGTTATTTAAGGGGCGGTCGCATAGCCTGAACACGTTTGCATCAAATGAATATATAGATTAAAAGAAGTGTTGGGTTTTTTTAGTTTACTCAATTTCCAACAAATCATCATTCATCGACAGAGGAGACGTATATTATGTAATGGGTTACCTCAGCTTTTCGGACACTGAAAAAATCCTAAGGCTTTTCATTTTTCAAGCTATTTCTTTGTTATTTGGTAAGATCATCAACCACTACAATACAAAACTTTTGTTTACAAAAACCTGCATATTTCAATTAGTTTTGTTTTAGAAGCTTATTTTGTATGCTGTATCAGAAAAAAAGGCGAACGTATAGGGGGGGGGGGGTATTTTTTTTTAATCCAAAAACGAAAACAAAAACTATGCTCATATTATGATGTAGACAAAATGTGGCAATATGGTTGCGAAGACACCATGCGAAATTTGAACCATTTTAGTAATAAAATGTGGAAGCCTCAGTATCTGTAGTACTAACATCTTACGAAATGAGAAAGTTTACGTAATCCGTCAAAATAGTGCGAAAGAAAAGCAAGCTTCACATAATATTCGACTTGGTTGCCTTGAAATAGTGAAATAATTGTTCGACTATCCATTCAAATCCCTATCAATAACCCTCAATTACATCGAAGACAATTATATATAACAGCAATTAAACGTAGCAGAATATGGTAAATTTAAAAAAAGAGCCCAACTTTTGTTGCTTCGGGCGACTCATGTCATAAGGCTAATAAAATTAGTTGTTGTTTTTTTTAATTTAAACCCAAAAAAAAAATATTTTTAGGGGGTATTCTAGGGGGGGGGGATAGGATAGTTTTTGCAGTTGTTGTTTGTGACCTTTTTTGTCTATTTGGGGGGGGGGGTTGTGGATTTTTTTAGGGTAAGAGGTTTGGGGTTTCTTGTGTGTGTGCGGGGGGGGGGGGTTGTATGTGTGTGTGTGTGTGTGTGAGTATGTGTGTGTGATTATGTGTGTGTGATTATGTGTGTGTGTGTATGTGTGTGTGTGTGTGTGTGTGTGTGTATATGTGTGTGTTTAACATTCCCTTCTGCGTTCCCAACTATATTTGGTTCCACGTTCAGGGCATGGGTTACATTTCTATACATGTATTGATTCCGTCATCAACGGCTGGATTTATCTGAATGTTAGTGCTGGGCGGCTAGGTTCCCGATGATTGAAAACTAGGAATCGTAGGAATCGACTCCGATCCCAATTACTTACTTTCTAATGGTGTGATTTCTTCCGGTGGTTCCCGTGTTGGCTCCGAACATCTTCAGGATTTAGGATAACCTTGATTTCGGAAAACTCAGAAGCATTAACTTTTATTGTTCAAAAATAAATTCTTTTTAAAAAGAAGATTTCAATGATTAAAGTTACTGGTAGCCGTTGAGTCTCGTGAAAGGGAACTTTTCTTCAGTTGCATTAGTCGTGGGAATCGGTTCCGGAATTGATTCCATGCCCAGCTCTACTGAATGTATGAAACACTTTTAGACGACTCTTCAACATTTTGTCATTTCATACAATGACCACGGCACAAATGAGGAAGAGCAGACGTAGAGAGTAGAGTGAAACAACAAATGAGCCACTATTAAGACTTGCTGAGACTTGGTGTTTACTGGGAATTGAAGAAAACTGAATTGGCAAGGGCTTGTACATGTAACAAGATCGTGCGGCCTATCTGAGACCATTCTTCCGGGAACTGTGCAAGGGAGGAGAAGGAGATGAAGACAAATAATAATAAATAGTGTTTGTATATATATACATAGCGCATAACCCCGCTCGACAGCAAGCTATATGCGCTTTACACTATATTATTACCCCAGCAGACCATAGAACACTCAGAACCATTTTCAGCTTCCCGGGAAGCATACAGTGCAAGCAGCTGATTAAGTGCTCAAACACTAACAAACTGACAAGAAAGAGGACCGACAACATTACGGAGTGGACAGGTCGTCCAAACGCAGGCACTCGAAAAAAAACCCGGGAAAAGTGGAGACATCTGACAAGGCTCTCTATCATTAAGCACCCCTACGATCCTCGTGAATTTTGAGAGAGAGAGAGAGAGAGAGAGAGAGAGAGAGAGAGAGAGACAGACAGACAGACAGACAGACAGACAGACAGACAGACAGAGA